CCCACTTTTGTCCGAGAAAGGGGTGGGTATACCCACTTTTGTCCATTTCCCTTTATTTAGACTAGTGAGAAAAAAACTCAACTCTGCCGGGACTCGAACCCATGACCTGGCCCTTAGCAGGCTGCTGCGAGGCTACCCACTAGACCACCAGGGTGACCGGTGTATGTATGCTCCTCGTTCCAGTACCGTTGGCTGTCCTACTGCTGCTGATTTTATTCTGTTTCCTTTTTCTTTTTCCTGGTGTTGCTCTTGGTTGGGTTCTTCGTTTTTGGCGCTTTTTGCCCAAAAAGAAATTGATGCTCCTCATTTTGCGATCTTGGCGATGCTTTGTCTCTCCGGTGTGTTTGGGAGGCGGGGTACGCACACGAGCAAACAGACGCTTTACAAAGTCGGTTGGTGCGCACCTCAACATACGTCGATGTTGGGATACGACGTGCTTCCAATTGTGTCGTCTTAGTTGCGTGGTCAGTCTTTCAACTACTTCGGTATCAAAAGCGACAAACACGGGCTACAAGGTGATGCATGCTGTTGCACGCAAGCATCCGCCTCTCGCCATCGCTCTTCTCCCTATCCTGGCTGATGTTTTGACAACTGCATTTTAATGAAACAAAGAGGCATACAACTGATCCCAACCACTCTTGACACGTTTCCAGTAGCAGCGTTCGTGTTTCTATTTTCCCACGAGTTTACATTCCTTCAAAGACTCTTCTTCCCCAGCCAACTTGTCACTACAGCAGCAGCAGTGCCAACCAAGAAACCCTTGGTTCCAAGTCTTGATTGCTTTTTTATGGAGGAGAGCACCGAAGTCCTGTTCACTCGCAGTAATTGTCCCAGCATTACACGAGTGGAGCGGCGACGCCGACGTGCACCATTCTTCCATTCTCCCACCTTCGACTATTGGTTGCATGGCTTCCCTGCTTCAAAAGGCAAGGAACGACACCACCAACCCATCCATCCGTGTACAAGTCGTACTCCGCCCTTACAAATACGTACGCCGCCAAAAACGCCGGACCCGGTAACAGCACCAGCACCACGACGGGGCCACCGGGACACTTCGCAGCCTGTCACCAACACACGAGGTGGTGCGCTTGCGCTTGCGATGACTCATCAATTGTTCCCAAGCGCCAAAATTGAAGCAAAAAAATCGACTATCAAAAAGAGGTCCCCGATGGAGAGGGACGGCGGCTGACACAAACCAAGCCAACGAAACGGAACAATCAGGTACAGCAGTAGAGGTGTAAGGCAACATAATAATGAAAGGGCCGGTTGCCCTGTTTAAGGCCGGTGAAATTGCATGGCACAGCGGATGGAATATTCTGGTTGTCTCCATACTCTAAATAGTGCCGGGTGCCCGATACATGAGGCCGGTGTCGTGTTCCCCCCCCCCCCGCCCCACCCCTCTGGACCAGGCCAAACAAAACAGGAGCCTAAACCTCTACTGCCGAGGGCAACAGCAGGGCAGCGGCGGCGGCAACGACAACGGGGTCACTAAGCTGCAGCCGCCGCCGCTACGGAAAGGGCTTGATCACGCCCTCGTCGAGAGCTCGGTCGATGGCCAAGCGGGCCGCCGTGTACAGGAACAGGTCCGCCGCCGCCCGCGGCAGGAACGGTGCCGCGGGCAACAGCACCGCCGCTAGCGCTTCAAGTATCCCCCCGCCCCGCCCCAAAACGCCCACGAACTCCCCCGCCGCCAGGGTGAGGGGCGCCTCGCTCTGGCCAAGGGCGGAGGTGAGGGCGAACGCGGCCACGCACCCGTCCCCGAGGTGTCCCACGGTAAACCCGTCCATCTGCGGGACGGGTGGCTCGCCGGTGGTAGCCGACGGGGACTGTTCGCGGTCCGAGCGCACGACGTATCTGCGTGTGTGAGAGAGACACACACAGAGAGAGAGGAGTGGAAAACTGAGTGTTGGCGGGGGCGGCGGGGGGGGGGGGGGG